TTTCTCTTTTTTTTTTTTTTTTTAGCGATGGATGGGCGAGCATCTCAATTCGGAGGAGGAAAACCTGCCGCCGACATGGGAGTCCCCTCAATGCACCTCAAGTTTGAATTGTTCTCAGGAAGAAGTCTCAGTGACAAGGGAACCAGTTTCTTCCAAATGCCGGAGATTTTATCCAAGGACCTCTCTTTTGTTTGGAGGATTTGCTCATTTTTATTTTAAATATGTGAGCTGGAGTTTTTTGCTTTTGTTGGTTGGGGTAGGATTATGAGTTTTAGTGCCTGTTAGTGGCACCTGTATTCGATACCTAAAAACATTTTTATTTTTAAACTACACATTTCTCCGAAGGGTTTGTGAGGTGTCTTGCTTTGAGAGTTACAATATAAATTCAAGCCATCTTATGTTTTAAAAAAAAGACTATGAAGGTGCTGGTTTATTTATGAAATTCAGTTAGATCTGTGTCATTTGCTTTAATGTCTGCAAAAGCAATTGTCATAGCATTTGAATGTTTTATTGCTGTGGCTCCTTTACAGGGCAGTGATGTGTTAAAGAACTGTTGCAAAGATGAAGAAATAGCCTCAGTCCTTAAATAGAACCAGTTGTGTTTTTTTTTTCTTTTAAATTGCATTTAATATTTTGGTGTATGTATGTATGTATGTAGGTGTGCGCACACTGCAGTTTGGAGATCAGATGACTGCTTGGTAATACGAAGTTGTCTCCTACTGAGTAGGTACCCACAATGACTCTCTGATTTTGTTTTGGTTGTAAGCTCCCTTACCTGCTGAGCCCATCTCACGGAAACCCCGTTTAATTTTTTTTGTTTGTTTGGTTGGTTGGTTGGTTGGTTTTTGAGAGGGTTCCACGTAGCCCAGGCTGCCCTTGATCTTGATATGTAACCGAGGCTATCCATAAACTCTTGATTCTGTTGGCTCAACCTCCCCAATACAGTGATTACAGGTAAGAGCCAATGTGCCTGTTCCCTTAGAGTCAGTTCTTGAACAAATGTCTTCTGACTTTCACCTAAGATTCAGTTCATTGAATAATGCCTCACTTTTTATGGGCATCTCAAGGTGCCTGAGAAAGATAGGGAAAGAGGGTTTTATGTATACAGTGTTCTGCTTGTAGGCAAAAAGAAGACACCAGATCATGTTATAGATGGTTGTGAGTCACCATGAGGTTGCTGGGAATTGATCAGGATCTCTGGAAGAGCAGCTAGTGCTCTTAACCTCTGAGCCATCTTGCCAGCCTGGGTCACCTAAAATTTTTAAGAAGTATTATTTAATTTTTCCTCTCTACATTTTTTCTTTCTTTTTTTTTTTTTTGTTTTTTTTTTTTTTTTTTTTTTATTACAGGGTTTCTCTGTGTAACAGTCCTGGCTGTCCTGGAACTTACTCTGTAGATCAGGCTGGCTCAAAGTCACAGAGATCCATTTGCCTCTGCCTCCTATGTCCTGGGATTAAAGGTGTGAGCAATCATTCCCAGACCCTCTATACATTATTTAATGTTTTATTTTTTAGATGCATTGGTGTTTTGCCATGGGTATCAGGTCCCCTGGACCTGGAGTTACAAACAATTTTGAACTGCCATGTGGGTGCTAGGAATTGAACCCAGGTCTTCTGGAAGAACAGTAACAGTCAGTAACAGTCAGTGCTCTTAACCCCGAGACTTTATATTTTTGTATTTTAGCGTTTGAATAATATTACATCCAAGTATGCTGAAAAATTGAAGAATAGTATTGAAAAAGTTCTGATGATGAAGAGTTCCATACCTCAACTTTTTCTTTTCTGTTCAACTCCTTCCCTCCGAGTGTTAAATTTTCCAATTAGACTGGCCTTTTTAGCCCGGCATTTTACCACTTAGCATTGCTTTTTTATTAAGAAAAGGGAAAGAGGTATAGCATTCTATGCCTTCCTTTTCTTACGCTTATTTTTCTAGGAGAATATTTAGAACCACACAGAATTTGGGGGGAGTACTAGGGATCAATTTGTATGTATTAATTATAGCTAAATATTCTTTATGCTTCAGAGAGGACATGAAATCATATTTCTCAAGCCAGCAAGATGGTTTACCAGCTGCCAATTCTGACAGCTTGAGTTCAATCCCAGGCCCCACAACGTAGGAGAGAACCAGCTCCTTCAGGTTATCTTCTGACCTCCATACATGCTGTGGTATATGCAAACTCACACAATTTGAAAAATAATTGATTTTTAGTTAGATTGTTGTAAGTAATAATATAGGAAGACTTGATTTACTCAGTGAGTTGAGTAAAAATATACATCTAGACTTTTTTAAAATTCATCCTCTACAAATTAGTTTTTTATTAAAAGGTCTTTGTATTATCTTTAATGGGAAAATTGTCAACACTAAGTACCGTTTGGGTCCAATGATCCACTTTAATTTTTTTATATATTCTTTAAGTTAATTCACATATACTTTCATAAAGATAAAAGAGTTGTGGGAACAGCTATTTGATAAAAATTTAGGCATGGTATTTTTTTTTTGTACTTAGAAAAATGAAAAGCATCCAGGCATGGTAATACATACCTGTGATCCTGGCAGTTGGGATGCAAAAGCAGGAGGATCACTGGAAGTTCAAGGCTGGTCTGGTGTATATTACAAGTTCAATCCAACCAGGGTTACATAAAAAGGTCCTGTCTCAGAAAGAGAAAGAGGGGCAGTATGAAGGGAAAGAAGAGAGAGAATGAAAATATAAACAAATGAATTTAATTATTTTTACTGCATTTATTTTAAATGCTTTTAACTTATTTTTATTTATTTTAGTGTGTGTGTAGGAGGTAGGTGTATGCACATGTGCTCAGTGTGAGCATGCATTCTCGAAGGACAACTTGTATAGTTTTCTCTTTCCATTATGTGGATTCCAGCGATTGAACTTAGGTAATCAGGCTCTGTGGCAATTCAACTGATGCATTTTAGCAGCTGAGACAATCTGTTTTCTCCTCTCGGTTCTAAGAATCAAGCTCAGGCTCTAGTGCATGCTAAGCAAATGCTCTGCCACTGAACTGCATGCCTAGCTTTTTATTTTTCAAGCCAGGCTTTCACTATGTAGCTCAGGATAGTATTGACTTCCTATGTATCCTATCCCAGCCGCAAACTCATGATTCTCCCTCTTTTCCCTCTCAAATTCTGGGATTACATTTGAATGTGACCACATCTAGCTATAACTAAGATGTTTTTAAATTTTTTTTATTTTTAAAGAGAATTTGTAGAGTATATGGTATGTCTATGAGAATTCAGGATATAACTTAAAATTCTTTTTAATGAAGCAGTTCAAATTTTTTTATTTTAATGTAACACCTGAGGGTTTGTTTGTTTGAGACTGGGTTTCTCTGTAGCTTTGGAGCCTGTCCTGGAACTAGTTCTTGTAGACTAGGCTGGACTCAAACTCACAGAGATCCACCTGCCTCTGCCTCCTGAGTGTTGGGATTAAAAGTATGTGCCACCACTTCACGGCCAACACCTGGTTTTTTTTAAAGATCCAAATAAGGCTGCAAGATGTTGCTTATAGAAAAGCACTCGCTTAGCACATGTAAAATCTTAACCAAACCACAAAGATAAAAGTCTAAATACTGTAAACAAATTAGATTGTAAACTTCTGAAGAATGGGACTACATTTTATTCTTTATTTTCCTCTAGAGTATAGAGGGTAATGGAAATTTGGTAATGAATTAATCTGTGAAGTACTTTAGGTAATTTTCTTTTACTTTTCAGTTAGAAATGATAAGAAAATACATAAGCAAAGTATTTGTATGTACCTTATTATAGTAATAATAGCATTCATTTCTAAAGTATAAAGAATAAGTCCTAGTTAAAGTTATCACTTATACTCGAAAAACCAAAAAAAAATATCACTTACATTGAAATTAAAATTTATTGAAACATGACTAGATAATTATGTTTTTATGTAGCATACCTTTTAATTTTTATTTCTAATTCTAAAATTCATCCTATTTTTTCAGGTAGTAATTGCTTAAAATATTCATCAGTTTATTTGCTAAATTTACATTCATTCAGGAATAAGCCAATTTGGGAAAGTATTAGATGATGTGTACATTTGATAGTCCCGATTTGGGGATGGGGTTACAGCTGTGAGAAGCCATGCCTAGTTTACATTAATTTTTTTTTATTATTCATTGTGTATTTGTGTATGCAGGTTTGTGTGTGTGTGTGCCACAGGACAACCTCACGTGCCATCCTCAAGAATGCCATCCCCTTCCTTGAGACATGGTTTCCTCATTGGCCTGGAGGTTACTGACTGTGACAGTCCTGCAAGCAATTGTCCTTCTCTGCCTCCTCACTTCTGGAATTGCAAGTGTATACTTTTATGCCCAGCATTCTTATATATGAATTCTAGCAATATGAGACTCAGGTCCCATGCTTGAAGAGCAAGAACTTTACTGCTTGAGCTATTGCCCCATCCTTAAAAAAAAAAAAAAAATTAATGTGGGTGTGTGCTTGTACACATGCCCGCTCAGACATGTGACATGAGGAAGTGAGAGAACAGTCTGTGAGAGTCATTTCTCTCCTGCTATGTGTACTGGTACTCAAATTCAGGTGGTCAGACTTAGTGGTAGGGGCATCTTCATCCACTAAGCCTTGGGGGGGCGGGGTATGAGACAGGATTTCTCAGTGTAACAGCCCTAGCAATCCTGGAGCTAGCTCTGTAGACCAGGCTGACCTCGAACTCACAGATATCCACCTGCCTCTGCCTCCTGTGTGCTGGGATTAAAGGCATGTGCCACCGCTACCACCTGGCAGCCACTAAGCCATCTTGCATACTCTTTTTAATTTTTTTTATACAAGATCTCATGTATTCCAGGCTATCCTATACCTTCACTTACAATTAGCCAATTGTTATGGAACACTGTGTTCTCTGGGAATGATGTAGCCATTACCTTCTTCAACTATCAGCAGCTCTGATTTCCTGAAGGAGACCTACACAAGATTGGGTCCATTAATTTAATTTTTCTTCTTGGAATGGGAAAGGGCTTATGATCCCACATCCTTCCCTGAGAATTATAGACAGTTAACGGTTAGTAAAGGAGGGGGCTTATGAGGCCACATCCTTCCCCAAGGATTTATAGGCAATTAAATATTGATGTGATGTGAGACCAGAGGGCAGGAATTTGAGGGCCCTTGAACATAAGGAGAATAAGGAAGTACCTCTCAGATGATGTATTGGAGGTGAAACATATTTAAATAAAAGTAGATAGTTTGAGCTCTCCAACAAAAAGTGAAATATTTAATCCTTCATAAGAGAGAGTTACTTTTGAAGGCCTTTTTGACTGGAATTGGAAAATCATGGGGCCTTGGACAGGAAGGCATACTGTTTAGCCCCCTCAATTATGGAGTTTAGATATCAGGCCCTCTTGGTTACAGAGTGTGCATTTGAGGTCTAATAGACAGAAACTGATGGTGTTTAAGAGTGGAAGATTTCAGTAGACTTAGAGAGAGTAGCAAAGTCACAAACCTCTTAGTGGAAAGAGGGTGTCCCAGTCTACCTTGTGCAGTGGATGAAGGACTTCATCACAGTTTAGAAGATTCACATCTTCAAGCACACTGTGGCATGCCTGGCAGCAATCTGAGCATCATCCATCAGTCATGATTGGCAATCTCATGTTCTAAGTCCTCTTGAAGATTATCATCAGTTACACTGGTGTGGGCATGAAGAATGAGGCCTTTTCATTCTGGTGACTATAATGAAGGAAAGATGACCTAAGCCTTAGGTTTTATGATCTCAGAGCAAAGCTTGGTGAAGTCCCTTGTTTCACACATGTATTTTCCTAGTCGTCATGGTTAGAATGGAAATATCTAAGGTCCTCCATTAGTGGGATAATTCTGAGGTACACGAGCACATGCTCTGAGGGACCCTTTGATCCTTGTCCCCTTAAGCAAAATGGAAATTCTGAGATGACTTTAGTAAAAAACAGTCATTCTTTTGACTCTTCTTGAACAGAGATTGATGTCCTTCACTGTTGTTTGTAATAGCAGAAAGGCCTGATGACTACTTTAACCCATGGGAAGTTCTAATAACCCATCATCAAAAGGGCATGGTGTGAGATGCGTTGAGAATAGGGACATTTTGGAGAGCCTCTATTCAGAGGGGAAGCTTCTGAGGTCATTCTGAAATGAATTGATTAGATAGAAAGTGCCAGGCCTTGTTTAACCAAATAGCAAGATCCACTCACTCCATTGTGCAGAAAGGAAAGGCTTAGCTTACCTTGGGTGATGGGGTGATGGTTTAGTTCTGCATCATTTGCTTCCAGCTGTTCTGCCCAGCTCCCATGATCTATATACTACATCGCCTGTTGAGAAGAATGCAAGAAGCAATACAACACTCTTCCAAGATGTTGAGTGGTTCTGTGGACCTTATGCTTTCTAAAGGTTGTATTGTTCTATGTTTATCTATCAATGAAAGATGTAAACATTGCATTCAGGACAACTAACTTCTGGGCAGATAACAAGACTATTAGTTTTAGCTTTCTATATTTTGACCTCTGATCTAAACCTATTATCTTTAGAGGTCCCATTGGTTGCAAGTGTTTTCCTAGCAAACTTGGTTGTAGGGATTGGCATAAAGGTAAGATGAGTCCGGGGGTCCAGTGAATGTTGCTCATGAAAGGAAGGGGAAGCTCTAGGGCCTCCCAGTGTCAGAGGCTAGATCTGACTATAGAATGAAGAAATGATACCTGATTGGTCATGGGAGCCAATTCTGAAGTCTTAGTCATCGTTGTGGCATAGGCCAGACATCCTTGGGCAAATAATTAGATCTCTGTAGTCTTTTTGGTTAAAGGGCATAATCATAGACCCCCCTTTGCTTTATACTGGAGTAAATGTGGGCAGATCTGATTCCCACTTATAAAGCGTGAGTCGTGTAAGAAATACGTGGTCTGAGGACTCTTTAATCTTTTGGAAAAGACTTGGATCAAACTTGCAAAATAAGAAAATTTGAGGGCATTTTCCATAAAATGCATACTTAAGACCAATTTGGGCAATTGGGGAAGGTCTAGAATAGGTTCCGTCCTAGGAGGAAGGTCTGATATTCTCTTCAGTGACATAAGAGTGAGGGAACTTGTGAAGAAGAGAAACACTGGGGCCTTTGTGTAAAAGGGAAATTTTTGAGCCCTGGTTGGCTAAGGGTGTGAGTTGAAAACCCCTTGGGCAGAGGGTGTAAGTGTCATACACCATTCTGTTGCAGGTGAATGTCACTGCTACCTCATTCAGTGAAGGAAGGTCCCATCACTGCACTTCAACTTCCAGCTGTTCTTTAGAGTTCCCACATCATCAGTTGAGTCTTGCATAGTTCAGGAGCAAACAAAGCCTTCTTCAGTGAACCTACATGGCTGTCCCTGGCAATGTTGCCTCTTCTTTCAGGTTGTCTTCACAGTTTATATATAGGCAGCAATGGTTGGAAAAGTGGACTTCTATTGATTAGACTGAAGCACATAGCTTAAGATCCAGTCTC